AATTCATCAAAAAACGTTTGGGCGTCCCCTTCGGCTAAAATTTTATTTATTTTATAATCATAGTAAATGAGACAGTGTTAGAAAATCCTAAGTTCTTGACTGCGTCGAATACCAATCAGGCAAATAAATACCGCGAGACCGATAGGCGAGCGAAAGCTATATACACTTGGAAGGGCCGTAAAGCAGTACCTGGAAGGCACTTTTTGGATAATATCATGCTAAAACTGCATTATCTTTCGTTTATAACGTATTTATAAGTTCGGAATTGAGCCTCTGAGAGAATACTATTACGAAAAGGTATAAATCGTTCTACCGGTCAAATGACCGGTCGTGGTAGGTAAGACAGACTACTAATTTTTCTCAAAAAATAAACAATAAAAAACGAAATAAATATTGAAAAAAGTATTATATGCATGTTTCAGGAAAAGTCATGAAGTTTAAAGGCATTTCAATTACGCTTTATACAGGAAATTCTAATCGAAATTTTGAAAACGGTCATTTGACCGGTCGCGGTAGGAATAGTGTTAAGGTGTACGATTAATAAGCAGCTATTTAATTACCAAAAACTGTGTTTCATAATAGTATGCACGGATATTCTGTATGAGAGATATCTGATCTCAGGTATCATGCTTTTATGCTGGTACCGCGATTTTCTGAAGTAAACAGGCGTTATAAAGCAAGTAAACGAGCCGCTTATTTTGAAAGCGATATTATATTTAAATCATGATATGTAAGAGTCTACGTTTTAATTAATTTAGATGGATTGGTAATCGGTAACATGGTATAGTAAGGTCTCCATTTCTATTCGGTGAAGGGATGTAACGTTTTTATTTCTTCTGCATATCTGGGATGGCAATGAAGGCTCATTTAATTCCTTTTTTTTGTCATTTACATATTATTTGATACAATGTGGTGAATTGTAAGTTATCTTAAAGAAATTCAAGACACCATTTTGTGTTCACTATTTTGACCTAGAGCGTATGTATAGTGAAATTGTCTACTGTGAAGTCTTCTTATATTATTTTTAACTTATCTTTATTATGAAGTTTTTAAGAACACAGATGATGCTATTTTATTTTCAAATAATTTTAAACGTTACATTTGTTATAATAAAGATCCATTTTCAAACCTTCAAGCCTCTGTATTTCTAAATTTCTGTTTTTTTAAATTTTTATATCGTCAACTTACCAAATTTCTTTATTTTCAGATAACTATAACCCCAAAGTTCAATATACCTAATTTGCTATATTTTCAAATTTTTATATTTTCCAAACTACATATTTGGAACTTAGTATTTATAGCCCTCTATATTTTTTAATGTACGTATTCCTGAATTTCTCTATTTTTAAATAAACTTCCAAATGTAAATGTCGAAGAAAGGTATAAAATGTTGTCAGGTCGCATGCAAACAATGATGGTAAAGAAGTAAAACTCATATATACAGTTCGTAAAGAAAAAACGAAAAACTAAATTTTAGAAACAACCACATTAGATAATTTGTCGGTTAGTCATTCTTTTTACTTATGTATATGTATAATTTTCATCTGGTTATGAACGAACTGAATTTATTTTGCTATATTTTTGAGCAATTTGCAACAGAATATTTTATTTTCAAAAGATGCATCGAATAAAAGTGTTGCGAATGGAGAATTATTGTTGTTGATAATAATCTTGTGTTAGATTACTTCACTGCATCGAAAACAATCTGTTAGAGGGAGGTCTGAAACCGCAATCGCCTGTAGCGAACAAAGTGGTCCTCCATTTTATAATTTCCAGTCCCCGTTGCGTTGAATGTAACACACCGTTAACCGTAGGCCAATGTTTTTTCTGATTTCAGATCGATTACCGACCAGTCGGTGAAGTAAAACGACTGGAAGAACAGGTCGAATCCAAAGAGAAACGACGTCGTGTTAAAGCCAAGAAAAGAGGAGGGCTCCTGTTAAAGGAGGATCGTTCAACAGCGGAGAGAAAACGTTACTCCGAAGCGTTCTTTCGTTCGTCTTTGCTCTCGTCGTTCCCCGAAACGTTCGAATCTCGACACCTGCACTGTCTCACGAAACGAACGAAATTCCCGATTAACCGGAACGTGTGTTGTTTTACTTCTCGGACGGTTATCTCTGGACTACGAGTTACTCGGTTCACTGAGTGATTCCCATTCGGCGAAGACGTCCGATTTTTTTTCGAACGAGCCATCGAAAATCGGCGATCACGAACGGGCGACTAAACTTCTTCCTGATCCGAAACACTTCGCTCGAAAGGGACCTGCTCGAGAGGATCGTGGTTCGTCGTTTACAAACTAACGACGAGAAGGAATCGCTGTCTCAAGGTTGTCTTCGTTCGGGCAACAACGTCGCGATTCGTGCTCATGTTTCGAACACGAAGGGATCCAGCCGCAAACAAATCGGGAGAGAGAAAGAGAGGGAGAGACTACGTTGTATTCGGCATAGGCTTCGCGTTATTTCTCTCTTCTTTCATTTGATTTTTTCCCCTCGCTGACCAAGAGAACAAGAAAATTATGAAACGTTTTTGTGAGTGGTTCGTGGAGTTCACGGACAACGTACACCTCGGGCATCCCTCGTCCTTGCACGTCCTTCGGTTCGTTGATCGAATCTGTCTCCCTGCCTCTCTCTTTTGTCTTCTCTCGGTTTTTTTTTCTCTCTCTCTCTCTCTATATATCTTTCAAATCGCTACTCTTTTTTTTTTAGCTAAATATTCGCTCTGTGGAGCACGGATCGACGTTGTCAAGATACGAAACAGGACACGCCCGTACAATTACAAAAGATGCGCGTCGCCGACCGGTTACAAGAATCCAGTTACCCGTAAAACGCCCGATTGCCCCACGGTTTTCACGATGATCGAGCATCGATCGTATAGGGTATATATAGATCCAGCCAGAATTCTTTGGCTTATAGGTACTTTGTAAGGCGTGCTTACGCCCGATAACCCCATAAGGGGATCCGGCCGAGGAGCGTTGATGATGACTACCATGATGGCCGGCCAGACGCGGCCTCCAGGGGACTCGTTTTCTACCCCCTTGCCGTAAAGGAAATTTCGAAACTGGATCCCATGAACAATCACGAGCGTGTCTCTTGAGTCGATGTTTGTTACACGAGGGCGTTCACGAGCGACGTAAATAACCGAAACGTACAAATTGATTCGGCGAACGTTAATATCTGTGTTTGCACGAACGCGTATCGAGAGAGCGGAATCGAGTAACAATTCGTGTGATTTAGGTAATCGCGAGGCTTCTGGAGAACACCATGGGAGAAACACTTAGGTGCATGTACGATTCAAACAAGCTTGTTATATATTGGTATTAAAACTTCGTCCTCGAACTTCGAAACTCTGACTGGTTTTTTATAGTTATCAACTTGCAATCGTGGTTTTATTCGATTCAAATTAAACTGGTCGCACACCTTGACTTGATTTAATTCATTCAGCTAATAGGCGAATTAAGGCTAATGTAACTTGCGATCCGAGAATATTGAACGCGTTTCGTTTATTTTCATTCGATACCTCGCGCGGAAATGAAATTTTTCAATCGAATTAAACATGTTTCTTACAGTGATTGCTAGACGTGCAATCAACTTTAACCTTTTCGCTGCGGTATATGTTATTTAGTATCGTATTATTGTAATCTTTATTACCCGTGGTGATGTTCTTCAGGGAAATCTATAGCGAACTGTGGCTTAACTAATTCAGCATCTCGATAGATAACAGCGTACGGATTTCTGACATGTGGATACAGGATGTACCAAAAATTATGATACAAGTAATGATTCTGTGTGCAAAAATAAATCGAGGAAACATAATATTTGTTTATATGTGCCTTCGATTTTCAGAAAATTAAATTTGAAAATTGCTGAAATTATTTGTGAAAGAATTGCCATAATGAAAATCAATTTTAACTCTTGTTTGATAATGTCGGTAATTAATGGATATTATAAATAATGAATGTAATTAATAATGAAATTATTGTTGTTAGACTGAGTTGATATTGTTATTTATTTATCGTACCTGGCACTAAATTCATTATGTTACATATTTATATATCACTAATATCGTGAAGAAAAATTGACTAAATTATTAGCTATTAGAATACATTAGTATTCCAACGATTTTATTATATGCATTTATTAATTTAAAATATCTATTAATTATTAAATTAATGTCAAACTGGTGGTTAAATTTACTATTCTTATCATAAATAATTTCTTTAATATATTGAAACATTTTCAAATCTAATTTTTTCGAAAATGAAGCTGAATATGAAAAGATATTATTTTTTAACATCAATACTGCTTGTATTACGATTTTTAGGACATCATAGGGCGCCACAAAAGTCACGAATGGGTTTCAAACAATCAGTCTGTAAATTTTAATATTTCTCTATTCAGTATTTAAGATTTGTTTCGATTAATATGTCATTTTAGTGGCCGCCATTTTGAACATCATTAAGTCGAGTTTCTAAGTCATCGTACGTCAAAACGAACGTTTGTGTATTAAATTAATGGAAAGGCCTGTTTAGAATAAAATTCTATGATTTTGGTTCGCTCTATATCTTTCAGAATAAGTCTGCAGGATTTACTTTATCGGTTCTGAAAAAAATATCGAAACAAAAATTGAATTTACAGAAATTATTAATCCTTTGTTACATGAATTTTGCACCACCGTGTATATTATCGGTCAAAAGTATGGGATTAAATATGAGTAAGGTGAAATTTTTTGAATATACGAAATTTTTATGAAAAGTGTCCGTAATTGATTTCACTTTCTTATTTATTAATACCTTTCTGAGAATATTGACACATATTTATAGGTTCAGGTTTCTTTTAAATTCAGTTAGCAATGATATACAAGGTGTCTCAAAAAAATAAATACATACTGTGTTACAAAATTTAATGAAAAAAGTGAACAGACATTAGGCAATATAATTTCTTCTTTTTTAATTTTTTTTTTTGTCTTATTGATACATTTTATTTACGAACAGTATAATTTTTATTCTATGTTGTTAAAGATTTTGAAATTTTATAATTCAGTTACTATTGATTTAAAATAAGTAAAATATAATTATATGAAAGATTTAATTGTTTCTTTTTCTCACCAATCATTTCTGAAGAGATTAATTTGATATATTTTTATAAATTATTTTTTGAAATTAAAACAATAATTTATTTCACGATGAAATACAAAATTTTTGCATTAAAAATTTTGGCGAAATTGAACATTTAATATAAAATTAACAAAATATATTTATGCGGAATTTATTAACATTTATTAAAAATATTGTAACATTAGATATATTCATTTAGTGAAATATTATTTTACTATAATTTTTGTAATTCATTTATAATGAAAGTGACTCAATTTTTTAAGAAAATTTAATTTGCTACATATTTTAAGTTTTTATATTTTATAATCGAATTATTTTACATTCATTAAAACAAATTTACTGTAAGTATAAACAACTTATATGTAATTTGAATGATACAAAAATTACAAAAACTCGTACCGTGCTCAAGTATTTAATTTTCTTATTCATTCAAAATCTAGATAATTCACATAATTTCTATCAACTTTGCTAAAAGCAAAGTTTCATCATACCATACAGAGATAATTGAATACCAAAATATGTGAATCGAGAAGTTTATAATAAAAAATTTAGTTGACTCTAAAAATAAACATGTTGACAAAAACTTGTTTATAAGAGATTCTATAAGACGCATATAAGTGTACTGTACATCTTTAAACCCGCAGATAATAAAATCCATTGAAATCTCTCGTCACAATGAAATTCAATTTCGTATAAATAAGTTTCATATTTTTGACCGACAGTATACCTCGCATACGACAAAAGAGTTAAGCCTCGATCGGACATACGTTGTGCTACACAAAATAATAGTTGCATAAAGCTACGGTACGTGCAGCTACAAAAAGAAACGGTCGAAAAAGTAGATTTGTATCGATGGGATATGATCAAGAAATCGACGGATGTGTCAGTAGCATGGCCGAAATACAATAAAACGGTCGCTCAAAAACTGGTCATTCAGTCTCGCGGCAAATTAATTTTCAAATAAGAATATCGAGGGCTGTTTTATTCTTTTTTCTTCCCTCTGTTCCGAGCTCCTCTTCTTTTTTCTATCCCGCTTCCTTTTCCCCTCCCTCATTCCTCTTCCGTTTTTCTTTCTTTTCTTTTCGTTTTTTTCGTATAGCGAGAACACGTTTCGAGTAACAATTTGATGCGAAGCCTGATTGGTTATTACCGTACCGAGCTTAATGACTCGACCCGTTTAAATGAATTTGCTTCTCGATAATGAGCATGCGTGCCTCCAATATTTATCATTATCTATGGCCCGGTCTCTCACCGCTTAATTTGCAATTACAGAATTTTATTCATAAACTGATGATTGGTGTCCCGATTTGGTTTTATTACTCGTTGGCTAACGATTCGGAATAAAAAAAGGTCACTGAACTTTGTGGTGGAACCTTGTGAAATATTATGACCGTTTTCGGCTTCGTTCGTGAAAGAAATCACGAGTGGCAGGATAAGAATATTGCGGTGTAAAATCTTTTATAATTAATTAAATAATATAAGAAGGTAGTCTATATGAGGACAAGAAAAATTTATTCTTTAAATATTTATTAAATAAATACAAAATCAATTTAAAAAGAAAGTTATACATTTTGTTAATTATATTGATATTGTAACATGACAGTAATTGATAAATGGATATAAATATGTTTAAATTCATAAGTCGTTTTTGAAAGTTAGGAGAGGTCTTTAATGTCATTTATGTAAGCTTGAAGTAATTAAGTGGCGACCAGTAAAATTTAATTAAAAGTCTTGTGGCATGGAAATTGTAATTCTATGGTGGTGGGTTAGTACGGTAATGAATAACTACGTGGAGCCGCGCAGACATGCAGCTGTCCTGCATTCACGAATGGATTCTCAATTTTGCAGTTAATAAGCTGTTTAAAATATTTGAACTTCCAATCTGCCGAAATTGTAAGTTTCTAAATTTTCAAATTATCACGTTTTTGAAAGTGTTAAAAGTGATTCGAAATTATCAAATTATCAATTTATCAAAATAAGAAGTTATCAGACTATCAAATGATTAAATTATTAAATTAATAAAATATGAAATCATCAGACTATCAAATGATTAAATTATTAAATTAATAAAATATCAAATTACTAAATCATGAAATATGAAATTATGAAATTAACTAAAACTACTAAATTACTGAATTGATAAATTATCGCATTTTTTGATTACTAAATTTCTAAATTAAAAGAATTACAATTTCTAAATTCGAAGCTTGTAAAAGTTGCAAGTTGTGAAAGTATGAAAACTTAAAATTCTAAAAACTTGGATATTTGGAAATTTGTAAATTAAAAAATTTAGAAAGTTTGAAAAATTGAAATTGGACCATCTGAAATTTTGTAAATTGCTCAAATATCAAATTTCCAAATTTGCCAATATAAAACTAAAAATTCTTATATTTTGCAATTTTTATTAATTCAATTCTTTCTATTAATTATTTCTAATAATTAATGTTCTACATTTATAAATTTTTAACTTCCCAAATTAGCAAACTGCAAAATTTATTTATGGTAATTAGAAATTACCATATTTCTGAATTTCAAAAATCTAAAATATATAAATTTGAAATTTCTCAGTTTAGAAATTTATGAGCTGCAAAAACTAAATATATGAAAATGTAAAAGTTTGAAAAATTAGAAATTAAAAATTTCTATATTTTTTTTTTTTAAATTAGAAATTTAAAATTTCTCTATTTTTAAATTTTGTTAATTCCCAGCTTGCCAAAGTAAGTTTGAAGATTTGTTCTAAATTTTGAAATCTCATGATCGGAAAATAAAATTCCGTATTTTTTCGTCTCTTCCATAGAATCCATCATTCTGTTACTTCTAATTGTCTGTTACTTTAATAAATTCTTTATATGACTCAGTGTGCTGAGTGACGTTTTGGCACAAAGTTCGAAGCGACTTACAAGAATACACGCATGAACTGCGAAAAGTACGCTTGAATATTTCAAAGAACCCAAATACCGTTAACTATAATCCATCGAATCGATATTATTTTGTTCTTAACTCCATAAAAGTCACCTTCTTATATTATTTAATATACGAACTTTGCAATTTGTAGCAGTAAATTAAATTTATTTTGATGTTAAAGAATTACGAAGATAGAAAGCTTATGCGATGTGCCGTATATGGTACAAGTTTATAGTAATGGCGGCAAAATAAATAAATTACAGCGATTCCGATGAAAGTAGTTTGTCGGAAGTAAGATCGTTTTATTCTACGAGGTGTTATAACAATAAACAAAAATTCTTGGCAGACACGATACGTTCAGGGAATGGCAGGAGCGATTAGCATGGCGTCGATTTTTGTTCGTTTAAGTTCCTTGATTAGAAAGTACGACGCTTATAAATGCGATATGATTTCGTAAAAAAATTCTTCGTGACATTTAAAATGTTTCTGAAAGAAAGTCTAAAATGTAATTCGCGTTAAATAACGTTCGTTGAAATAATTTTTGTTACGACGAATTTAGTTTCTTTAAGTTTGTATAAGTAAAGGTTTCTGTCGTTGTTTCAATAATGATAAACCAACTGTACAGCGAAATTTAATGTTTTTAAAATTATAGCATTGTTACGTATATAAATGTTTGTTAAATTTCTGAACAAAGGTGTAGTTCCTTCTATTTGAAACTTGAATGTTTGTATCGCGAAAGATGTGTATTTATTAATCGATTAAGGAGTTCATTATCAGTTTGTATTTCTTCTGTAGCGACGGATAGTAAAGCGTAAGCGATTTAAACTACAAGTTATAGAAAAAAAAAATTTTAAAAAGAGAGAATTAAATAATATGCAATAGCGTTATATTTCAACGTATTAAA